GGGGGGGGGGGGGGGTTTGGGATAAGTTCCTCTTCCGCCATACGAGGCGGCGTTGTTGACCTTCCTAAAAGAGAAGAACTACCCGGACACGTGACCGGCCTTTCGTTAACCGGCAAACATATCCCCATCAGGCATTTGACGGGCATTAGGACTAAGCCACAGCCTACGATCGATCCGCACTGGCTGGTTGCATCTATTACTAGAGGACTTATTTGGCTAGCACTTTGTCAATAGAATCGCATGAAAAAGCGACAATCATGAGCGAAAGAGGGTCGGAAATCGTCTACCGAGCGGAAAATGTCCCGGTTCGCTTCTTCAAAGCATGTCGGTGGTGCAGAAGGCAAAAGATGCGATGTGATGCGCGTAGCCAAGTCCCTTGTTTCCGCTGTCGCTCGAGCGGCCGGGACTGCATTTTGGATCCGATCGATGATGGCCGGCGACGAAATGATCGTCGGCGGAAAACAACAACCCCCGCAAGGTGACAATTGAAATATCGATCCTGCACATGAAAGCAGCGAGCTAATATACTGTCAAAGAAACCAAAACACTGCTTCACCGCTGGACCCTAGGACCGGATATCACACTCCGGCATCAAGAGATCAGGGGTTCTCACCTGCGACCGTGCAAGATGGTGGTTTTGACACTCCAATTGACTCTTTACCCGATTCCACTGGATTAAGCAGTCTCCAGCGATCTTATACGTCTGATGCGAATGGACCGGAATCTCAGCAGCTCAGCCCTAATGAAATGATCGCACCTGCGTCAGCGGTACACTCTATGTCCGTGAATTTGCTAGACACCAATGATGTGAGTCACAGTCACACCATTTACACAATTGGTATCTATCTGACAGGCCAAGATATTCATGGAAAACTCAGCCAAGGGTGACCCTAGAGGAGATGTCGTCGCTAGAGGAATCGTCAGTGAGGAGCTTGCTCGTGTCATGTATGAGAGGTATGGTACTAACAGCCAAACGAAACTGCAGTCATATCAAATCTAACTCTTCTGCTACAGATTTACTGGCGGATCGAAAAACTTTCTTCCTCTTTTTGACCCAATCAGAGACACATTCGACTCTGTCCGTTCAAGATCCTTGTTTTGTTTTACAGTGATTATCTATCTAGCTAGTCGCGCAGTGACAGACTTGCGCGGAGACACGCATATGCAGCGTGTTCTACAAGATGAGGCACAACGTTTGGCTGAAGACAGCTTCTTTGAGCGACCCACCAAACTAGAAACAGTTCAAGGGATGATTCTCCTAGCTGCCTACTCCGAAAAAACATGGTTCTCTATTGCTCTTATTCTTCGCACCGCCTTGGACTCTGGACTGGAGAAATCTTTGGACACTCTGTTATCGCAAGAAAATGTACCCCGAAGCTCGCTCTCGGCTTCGATGGCTGAACGTGAACTGGTATGGAAGACAAGAACCTGGTTAATCACTTTCATATTGGAATTGGACGTCGCATCTGGTACGGGACGCAAATCCCGCATTGCCGAGGTCGACGTGGTAAAGCTGCGCAGATTCCTTGACTATCCACTCTCCCTGCCCTTTGATATGCGTACTGTGTGTATCATTGAGCTTCATCAACTTCGAGGTAAAACTGCAGGTGTGACTTGTCCATCAGACGACTAACGTATGGCAGGTAATTCTCGTGTGATTATCGACAGCACTTCAAGTATTGGAGATATTGTGTCTACAGAACTACCAGCCATTATGACAAGATTGCAAACGTGGTGGACGACGTGGGACGAGATCCATGAAAGTAGGCTGTCCTTTCTCGCTTTGAATATACCCATCATCTGGATCAATTCTGACTTGAACGAAAATTGAAGACAATGGTTTCCATATAGGGGCCTTTCAACGCAGCAGCCTCAAGCTTATGCTTCACTATGCCAGGATTTTTGTTTTCTGTGCCTCACTGGCACGAATTCAAAAATTAGAACCGACGTACACGGATTCAAGCTCCGAAATACTCGACCAGGATGTGATGAATCTGTGGCAGTCCCTTGTGACAACAATCATGGACCAATTAGGCTTTTTGATCAACGAGCCAGCCTATCGCTGCCAATTACCCTGGGCGCCAACGTACCCAGCCCTCACGATGGCTTTCGTCAGTAAGTTGATCATTTCCTCAATCAGCCTACATACAATTTGCTAATATAGGCTTAGCAACATTCGCTCTTCGGGTCGCCAGATGGCGCCCGAATTTGATCGATCAGAGTCTTCTACTTGAAAGAGCAGAAAGGATCTGCGATTTCCTCAAACAGCCCCCATATCCCGATATACACCGGACTGTCTCCATCTTTGTGAACTATGCACGCGCCTTGATTGCCAGTCAGCGTCCACAGAGTAATCATAGTACAGATGTACCCATCATGTCTCAAGGCGAGGGCCCACCATTTGAGGGAACTGGTAACCCCATGATCAACGGCCCGTCTCCATCAGGAGTGGGTCCCCTCGACGATCTCCGCTACAGAACTGGCCCAACCTCAAATCTGGTCTCAATGCCAAGTAATGACCCATCTGCGGTGGCCAGGGCGCCCGTGTCTCGGCTATCCGGCACGATGGAAGCACCCAACTGGACTGTATCGAACTCAATTGCAGATTCCTTTGGTCTGTTTGAGGAGGGGCAGAACGATATCTTTGATTTCTTGCCTATGATGCCAGCGATGCCACAGTAACAATAACATACCTAATACATCTTATTGAAGTCTTATATCACTACAATCTCACTAGTCAAACTGAGTAAGTCTTGCAAGGACTAAGTTCTAGCCTTGTAGATCAAACCCGATACTCGTTCCGGCGGACAACAAATTGGGCCGCAACGCGCAAGCAGTATGTTTCTTTCACATGTTTTTAGTCACACCAGTCTGGATCTCCACTGAAAATCCGTCTTAGCAATCAATTGTGCATAGGGGGGAGCCATCCATGTCCGGATCCTGCCCGGCGCCGTCGGTGGGTTGCCCTAAGACCCGGTCCCGTACCGGCCCCGGTTTCCCGTGCAAAAAGATCGAAGTATACCAGTCTCTCATTGGCTTGTTTCCTACTCCAACATGACAGATAGAGGCATTATGCAGGATCAACAGGTTCTAGCCATGGTGAGTCAAAGAATCGTCAGGGTTTTCACTCTGGGTCTGCCGGTTGCAATGGGAGCGGAAATGTTCTTATATTGCTTATATAGCGCTTGAATCCTTAACTACCGGAGTTCCTGAGGATCAAAATAAAAAACATACTTCCAATCACTTCTTTTTTGTGCTAGCTTACCCCACTCATTTTATGGTGCAATATGGCGTCAGAAACGAGACAATCTTTAACGGCTCAGATAGCCGCCATCCTTTCTTCAGGTGAGATCAACCTCCACTGATATTCCCTGGTCTGCTCTAACATGTATTAGATAAGAATGACAGTTCAGAGAAAAGGTCTCTTGCTTCAACGGAGAACAATCAAAATTCAAATGGCGAATACCAAGTAGTTGAACTATCTCAAGATGAACTACTTGTCGAGTTTCAGGAGAACTCACCCAAAAACCCACCAAACTGGGCCTTTGTACGCATATCTATACAGCTATATATTATGAAAAGATATTCACTAACAAATCAAATAGAGCAAAAAGTTCTACAATGCAGTTGTGGGGCTATTTATTGTACTCAACAGCGGCATATCATCGGCACTTCCTAGCAATGCAGTCCCCGCTATCATGCAGGACTTCCACGAGTCCGGAGACCAGCAAAAGGTCTTACCAACTGCCGTCTTTCTGATTGGCTACGTGGTTGGGCCTCTGGTATTCAGTCCACTGAGTGAAACTATTGGACGGAAACCTGTTCTCCTCTGGTCTTTCACTGTTTTTGTCCTCGCTACGCTTGGCTGCGCTCTAGCGCCGAATTGGTCCTCCCTTCTCGTCTTTCGGGCTATTTGTGGTCTTGTAGGGGCTGCACCTCAGACGGTTGTCGGTGGTATTTATGCGGACCTGTTTTTTGATTTGCGAAGTCGTGGTCGTGCGATGGCGATGTATATGTCGGTATGTTGTGTTCAATTACCTCCACGGGCTGGAATTTTGAATGGTACTGATATGTATTCCAGGCTTGCAGTTTTGGTCCCATTCTAGGCCCGATTATCTCTGGATGCTCGGTCAAATATGGTTGGAGATGGACTTTCAGGATCGACCTGATTCTGACGGGTGTTACCTGGTTGGCTCTGCTCTTCACTTCTGGTATGGTTATCACTTGGCCCAACTGTGGCATCAGCTGATCTCAAATCGAAATAGAAACTTTTGGTCCGGCGCTCTTGAAGCGGCAATCTGCCAAATTGAGAAAGCATTCGGGATCCAATCGATACTTCTCGCGTCAGGAGCTCAACCTGGACTCGAGATTCACCCCGATGGAGATTATCACTCGCCCCATCACGATGCTCTTCTTTGAGCCTATCATTACCTCAACATCTATCTATATCGCTCTCGCATATAGCCTGGTCTTCTTTTACTTCCAGGCCTATCCCATCATCTATGGAGGTAATGCTCCACGTGGAACTACTGATCTATACAATTCTAACATAAATTAATAGATGTCTATGATTTCACCGTCGAGCAAACTTCCCTCACATACATCCCAAGTAGGCCTTCTGTTCTTGTCTATATTCACAGACACAACTAACCCATCACAGTTGGCCTCGGCGCCGCTTCTTCCGGCTTCGTCGCCCTCTACTACGACATAATCTACGAAAAAGCCAAGAAGCTCAACAAAGCCTGGACCTCCAGCCCAGAGTACCACCGACTCCCCATGTGCTGCATTGCCGGGCCCTGTCTCACAGTAAGCATGTTCTGGCTCGCCTGGACAGCAAAGTCCACCATACATTGGGCAGCACCCGTGATGTCAGGGTTCGTCTTCGGGTATGGATTCCAAACCATCTTCATCTCACTTCTTACCTATGTGACCGACGCATACAAGATCTACTCTGCCAGCGCACTGGCAGCTTCCGTTATTTTGCGGAGCATTGCTGGAGCGCTTTTCCCGTTGGCCGCTGATCCGCTCTATGAGTCTTTCGGGGTTTCCTGGGCTACTTCCCTCCTTGCGTTTATTAGTCTTGCTTGCATTCCCATTCCTTTTGCTTTGATGCGCTGGGGCCCTTGGATCCGGGAGAGAAGTCCCTTCTGTCAGAGGCTGATTCTGGAGGAGAAACTCAGGGCTAGTGGGTCGAGTACACCTGCGCATGTATAAAAGCATTTCTCGTTGGCTTTGACTTTCGATCTCTTTTAAAAAGATGATTTCGGGACTCTGGTTTATAGGAAATAAGTATGAAATAATGACTTGATAGCTAATTTATAATGAAGATTACGATTTACAGTCTATATAAGTACAAAAGTACTCTGTTCCGTATACTCCCGGTTATTATTTCCCCCTTTTCCAGATATCAGGCAACATCCAGGGGGCCAATTCTAAAGAATAACACTAAAAGAAAAGAAAAGGAAAGAAAAGGAAGGCCAAACCCCATCGAGATTTAGAATAACCGCGCTAAACTGGAACTTCACCAACCAGATCGCCTAGTTGCCTCGCGCTTGCGGCTTTAAAAATCGTTTCGCTCCTCCACTTTCAAAAAGGTACGGAATCGCGTCTTGGTTTTATTGTTTCCTTGGGATTCTTGATATTCTTGCTTTATTCTTCATTCCTCGCAATGTACTCACATATTCAAGCTGAAGGCACTTCGGTAACGATTGCTCATTGCAAGGCACAGAACCTGCCAGTTGGTTCGCGATCCCCCGAATTCTCCATGTCTATATTAAAACTAACCGAACAACGCCGATCAAGTCGATCGCATACTTGAGCCTCAAACCATCCCACATTTCCTTCAATTTGCGCTCGGTGAGCCCCTACCCAACGGTAGCCAACCCAACATCGAGCGCCTGTCCGTAGAGGAAGCGTCCTTCCTCCAACATGATCAAAACTTCCCCCCGGGCACCAATGGCGAGCCCATAGTGACCAGTGTTATGGCCCGCATTGGATCCGACCGAGATTCAAGCCGACTCTGCATGGTCGGAAAGAACATCCAATCCCTCAAGTCCCGTCTATGGGAGGGCATCATCCCCTTGAGCGACCAGCTATGGCAGGAAAAAGGCCTCGACCGGCCAGAACATTTCGATTTCGCATGTCAGCATCTATCGGCCGTGATCGCCGTGTTCCAGTATTTGAATGTACCAACCGTGCGATTGTATCTTCGCGACACGTTCAATTACATCTACGACCATTGGACGGCCCTCGACACTGTTCTCAACAAGCGGAGAGCAGAGCAAGGTAAAGAGCGCGTTAGTGTGGCGGGTCTCTGGACAAGGTACATGACTGCGCATTTCGAGATGATGACCGAGCGTGCCCATAGATGGGTTACCGTGCATGCCAATGCACTGCAAGCTCCATTGCTGCGAGCTCTCTTGCAGTATCGGCCACCTGGGGATGATGGCGGCCCGTTACACGAGCCTGATGCTGTGCAGTGGAAAATTACTGATTCGCTGCACATGCTGACTGAAATCATCGGCAATGCGGATTTCACCATCATGATCCCCATGGACGGTTATAAGGGGTACTGGGCGCCTCCCCCGCGAGCCGGTCCGGCAGCACTTCATGCGGCGAATCTGTTGGCGAGAAGTAAAGCATACCATGAGCGTTTGAGGCTGCTTACTCGAGAAGCGATCTCCCGTAATGCGGCTGCGTGGACAGATTCAATTCCTTCGTCCGGAGAGTCGTACCATGCGACATCCCGGAGCCAGATTGAAGGCCTGAACAAATTAAGGAAAGAGGTGCGTGGTGCACCTCTTGAAACTGTTCCGCGCGAGCCTTGGATCACAGCTTGCGCTTCAAAGCTGAAATCTGGGAGGGAGAATGGAAAGGACGAAAAGTACGGGTTCGCTGTGTATCGGTTGACTTATGGGCAGACGGAGTCTGAATGGACAGAATTCGTTCGCAAAGTGGAAGCCCATGTTTCCGATTGGGGCAAAGGCCAAACAGGAAGCAGTACTATCAAGGAGCATCTAAAGCTCCATTGGCTGGATGGGAAGGAATTGGGTATCTCAGAGGGCGGTGTCGATGCATCTAAGCAGTGAGTGTACCTTTCCCTATCTTTCTTCCACCGTGCATTTCGAAGTTAACATGTCAATCAGACACTTCAAGAGCATAAAAGATGACGACGACTGGTCAAACCTAGAAGATGGGGCTTTCCTCGTCGTTGACTCCGCATCCTTTGCCTCATACACCACCAATTCCTACAGTCCCGCGACATCCCAGCTCATCACCGGTGATTTCTCCGGCTTCCTTCTCGCCGTTGACCCAGATTTCGACCCACAGAAAGGCATTACACGACCCAACGAGTCCCCAGGCTTCAACGGCCAGATGCGAATTCTCGGAAGCCTTGTATGGAGCGATCTCTATTCCCTACTAGCATCGCAGACATCGGACCTCAAAGACTACTGGCCATTAGCAAGTGGGCACCCGAACATGGTATATGTCGGTCCAACGATCCCATGGCAGCGATACATCTGGCAGAAACACAGTGAGATGCGCTGGGAACTCCTTCGTGCGGTGATAGACCATGTAAAACTCAACCCGGGAATGCCAGTAACACCGCCCCAAGCTGAAGTTACGTCTGCAGTGACATCTCCGCCTGTAGTTGAACCTACAGCCGCGCCAGAAACTGCTTCTTTGCCTTCGCCGACACCACCCGCAGAACAGGATGCCGTGAATGGCGCCCTCCGTACATTCCTGCTCACGGAGTTTCAGCGCTATTTGCGCCATCAAGGTCAACCGCGGACAGCGGCCATGGTCGACGAATTGCTCCATATTCAGCCAGGTGAGGAGCCGGATGCAGGGCGGCTGCGACAGTTGGTGGACGATGAGGAGCGACGGCAGGAGCAGCGGAGGCAAGATGGTTTGGGTGAGGATGAGGAGACCTCGGGGGAGTATCAGCCGGACTGCCCGTTGCAGTAATCATATTTAGTATATGACTTGGGCTGCGTTTTCATTGTGAATATTTCTCATAATGGGGACGAAATGGATTAGCTCCCTGGCTCGTTCAGAGCGACTCGTACATACAGAGGCCACTCGTGATGAAAAGCGAAATAGGCCAAATAGCCTACTCGGGAATATGAAGCATCACCATCAGCTGGCATCAAACCTCAGCGACACATCCTAAATCCTACCGCAAACCAAGCCCCAGATTCAAACTCCATTAATTCCATTAGAACTCACTCCGACTAGTTCGCTTGCGAGGACGGTGTGCAGCCTTATGCCAACCAACCTGACACACGTCCTCGGTCAAGTCCCTTCCACAGCAAGGATAGAAAAACTTTTCCGGCCAAGTCTCGCGATATTCATTATTGTGAACATCGATTCCGGCAGCGATCTCCTCCTTGAAATACTCCTCGTCGACCATATCGGGCTCTTTCCAAGGTGTCATAGATTAGTTACGTTCATATCTAGACATGTATTGACAGATGTACTTGGGGATGTACGTACCAACATGATATCTGCAGCTTGTCTCCGAGTTTTGAGTGACTTCGAAATCCTCCAGGCAGTAGATGCAGTTTTCGAAACGGGATGTCATCGGGATACTGGCCGTAGGCTCGGAGATGGACTCGTCCTTGGTGGGTAGGGCAGAAGTGACGGGAGTAGTGCGAGAAGTAGGGATAACTGGCTCGGATTTCACATCATTCTTCGCTGCTAGTAGCCATTTTGAGGCGATTTTGCGGCCTTCTGGGCTGTGCTTGACGATGTCCTTTAGGATACCCTCCAGGCGCTGGATGGATTGGTTATTAATTGCTTCCAGTAGGAGGGACAGGTTATCTGGTTGCTCGTCAGATGAAGGCATATTTGAAGTCGCTGAATGATGTGCAAGTTATGTAGGGAAAGGGTGAAAGTGAAGTGTCGGTTCAGGATGTTGTATGTTTTGGGTGTCTGGGATGCATCGCGTCGCGTCCTGTAGTTATAGACAGACAGAATTAATCGAAAGAGCGGTGGAGTGAGCGGTAAAAAAGTGATCCATATGTTTTCTTTGAGAAGATACCGCTTTTCAGCATTACGAAAAGAAACTGACCAAAATGTAAAAGCCAGACGCCTTAAGAAAAAAGCATATATGCAGGGAAACAAACTCATCTAGATGGTTTCGTCACACTATATGATGTCCACCAGCTTCAAATGTACACACATGACTGTGAACCGATACTAAGAAGCCAGTGTAAGCAACACATGGTCAACTCAACCTTGGAAGAGAGAAAGACTCTGAGCCAGGCTATTCCAATCCGAAAAGTCGACAAAGTTCGGATCCCAACTATCAATATCAAAGCCTGTCTCAAGCCGAGAATCCCCAGTCCCAATCCCATCGGCACGAGCAGGACAATTATCGCGGACAGCTCGCTGACTCTGCTCAACAGAATCATGCGCCTGGCGAATACGCTGTGCCTTATTCCGCAATTGCACAATCATCGGCCACTTAGGTCCCGGGTCGGGCCAAGAGGGATCATCAGTCAAAGCGAACTGCATGTCGACAGCGTGCCAGGCTCGTTCGACATGTGGGCCAGTTGGATAAACACACAGAGTCCAGAGAATGAAGGTGAAGAGGTGGTATTGGGTGAAAGTCATCATAAGCCAGCTGAAGCCGCGCAGTAATTCATTGATGTGCATCTCGAGGCCAATTTCCATGGCATAGCAGGCTTGTGCTAACGTCTCTTGGACAAGGTTGTGGTCAAGTGAGCAGGCCGCCGGTCCCTGTGACTGCAACTGTTTTTGTCGAATGCACACTTCGGTCTTTATGAGGAGCAGCCGTCCGAGGAGGAAGCCGAAGCGCTGGATCGGGATGTCTGGGTCGGCGTGTTGCAGGTATTTCTCCTCTATTGCGCCTTTAAACTCGGCGATCAATCGCTCTGGGTCGGCTGCTCCCACTAAGCTTCGATGTAAAGCCGGCCGCCCCCTGTTGATTTCTATTACGATTAGAGAGAATGTCATCTCGGTCCACCGCTTCTGCGATACGGCTGGGGCAATGTTCGTCTCTGATAAGTTCTGGTCGTCGATATTCAGCGGGAGTTCAGTGTCTCCGTAGTCGTTTTCCGGGACGCTGAGCCCGTGATCTTCTGCTACTCGGGTATCGGCCGATTGGATATGTCCCCAGGTTCGTCGGCGTAGCTCGCATTCCAATTGTGGGAGTTTGAAGTTTTTCCCGTCACGCTGGAGGCCGATGGACTGCGCCGCTCGGATAGTCACGCCCTGTAATGTCCAGCCAGACCGGCCGCTATTGCTAAATCGAAAGCATGCCTAGAGAGCAAATATATGTTAGCAATGCCAAGCACAAGAAATACTAAAGGACACCTAAAGAGATATTCTCTCACCTGGTATATCACCATTGCCTGCAACGAAGTGAGGGTTGGAGCATCCAAAAACTCGGAGTGATACAAAGACAATTCCATGCCATGTTGATACCGCCGCAGATTGGCATGCAAATTTTCATTCTGGGCATCTTCCGAAAGAAACGCTGTGGTAGCGGCAAAACAAATAGCAAAGAGCAAAGCACGTACATCAGCACGCACACTCTCAGGTCGGTTAATCGCAGCAAAAATCCGCGATTGCGCCGTGGGTACATGAATGACTTTTACCAAGGGCTCTACACGACTGAGGAATGCCTGCCAGAGCAAAACTGCCTGCCACTGACTCGGAAATAGCTCCTGGATGTCAAGCTGAGCCGAGAGCGGGTTCGTGAAGAGGCCATCTGCCCTTAATGCTGGTGGTTGGCGCGGACTAGTTGCACCGATCGGTGATCCAATTGCAGACTTCAGTTCCTGCTCTTTCTCTAGCACCCGCGAGAGGAAAGGCTCATTGATATACCGACCGTCTTTGTCTAGGAACCCCTGATGGGCGGGGCGGTCTGCCGCAGCTGGGTGGCTTGTTGTACTTGGGCCTTGGTTTTGGCCGTTCAAGCTAGTCGACGATTCCTTGATCATCGCCGTAATTAGCTGTTCAAGTTGCTCCAACCGTACAGACACATCGGTTGTGCTCTTCTTGGGGGATTGGCGCTTGATACGGCTAGGACCTGGATACTGGCAGGGTAGATTCAGTTTCATGCATTTGCTGCATGGTGAACCCTTGTCGCATTTGATCTTATGCGCATGGCAGCGTAAACATGATCGTTCTACGTTGTATCGGCGTTGGTGGTTCATGGCGCTGTCTTGGCGCAGCTATGGAGAAGCCGCAAATTGAAGAGGTCTAGGCCATAAGGTTGAGGAGAATTTCTTTATCAGATCCTGGCTTCTGCAATATATTGGCAACCAAGCCTCGAGCTGGTGACGCAAGTTCGGTGCTCGGTCATTCGTGAATTGCCGATAGTCCGGATGATTGTGGGGGCCAAATCCCACCTCCCCAGCTGGCAAGTATCCATAGATATATCAAGACAACTCATGTCCTAATTCAAATAGTTACAATGCGAATAAAATAGCCTCAAGATCTTTGCGAATCAATTTTATTCAACCTTTTTGATCCACATTTTGTCCAAGGTGCATCCAAGATCCCACCTTCATAGGTCGACCAAGTAGCAAAACAGAACACTAATCGACATTGATGCGCCGAGTACAATCATTAAAAAGGATGCTATATATAGACAACGCTAATAAAAGAAAGCCTCTGGACCGCTTCCAGAAGCATCAAGAGCCCCAATTCTGCGCCCAATGAAAACCGAAACACAAAAGCTTTGAGATTATGAAATAAGAAGATCGCGGACACTCATGCCCTTCCTCCTTTGGCTCTCTGAAGGCATAGCTGGAGTCTCTTCCAAAGACTTTGTCAGAGCCGCGCTCCCAGGGAAATTTTCACTGATAGAATCAGCAGTCCCTCTCCGATCCTGAGTCAACATAAGCAAGGCAGCTGAAGCCTCATGATCAACACCCTGAAACTCTTGCATCTTTTCATTGGATGCCCATATCGGGCCCAGTGCCGGGCTAGGAAGGATAGATGAGGCATCCTGTGGAATATTGGCTGAGGGGACTTGTGTGCGGGGAGAGAAGGATGGGGATGTATCGGGAAATTCTGTGGGAGCAGCATACAACTCCGGTGACGCAGAGGTGGAGTATGAATAAGTAGAAGAATTATCCCTTTGCATAGGCTCGCCTGTTTCTGCGATGAATTCTGGGGATGTTGGTGAGGGCGGGGCGGCAGGAGTGTGAGTTGATCCTCCAGTCTTCATGTCGCGGATACATTTCTCTAGGTAATTGACATAGTCGATGCTTGCCTGTCGGGATAGTTAGTATATTGTGAAATTCCCGAAATGAATGTGACTGTTGTACCTGAAGAATAGCCAGCTTATGCATTTCCTGCCCAGTGCATGCTGGAATCATATCCTTCAACGTCCCGAACTCTTCGTTCATCTTGGACCGTCGTCGACGCTCAATTAAACTGTGTGCGGTCTTGCGGGCGATCTTGCGTCCTGCAGCACTAGTCGCACTTGGCTGTTTTCTCTTAGAGTTTGATGTGGGGTTGGGCATGGCGTCTTCTGAACTCTGTGAACCCTTGGCATTTTCCCTCGTCTTGGGGGCTTTTGAAGGCGACTTGGGCTTCATCTGGATAATCTTGCGAGTTCTAGTTGGTGGCGGAGGCAAATCAAAATCCTCGAGTGGGCGTTTGACAGATGTACCCGACCGTGAGGTATGACTTGTACGGCGGCCAGAGAGCTCTGGAGAGGTCGGGGATGCTGGGGCATAGGAAGGGTCTGATCGGGAAGACCTCCGACTGACATTGCTCAATGCAGCAGGAGGTAATACGAAGGTATCCCCGTCGGGCTTATCTTTGATAGTGAATCCGCCCGACATGGCTGGGGTTGGAAGTCGTGACATTGTAGAAAAAAATAAAATGGAGAGAGAGGGGAAGTAAATAGTTTCGTGTAGAGTTGTACAGCAAGGGGTGCAGACTACATATATAACCGTGAACGTCCTCCAGGGCCAGGTTATAGATAGTGTCGCGTGCTTCCAAAGGTTGTGCCCACGAGCCATAATTGGCGACGTCGATTGGTCGAGCGGAGACTCGTGCTCCAGGGAACAACAGGCATTTGCTGGAGTAAAGAGTGGGGCCTGGCGAGCTTATTGGTAGGTACTGAATACTTAAATTAAGGTGGGAATAGGGGGCTACTTTATTGTACTTGGTACTCATCACATCAATTGAGGTAGCCCAGCACGTGTATTAATTGGAGGCCCTTCTGCTCTCGATTACACGGACTTCACCTTTATGCTTCGAGAAGTTCTGGGCATGTGCACCTTTTGTGCGGCTGTAACATTTATATCTTTCCCATTGGCTAAAAAAGTCTGTCTCAAGCCACGGTTACAACTTGAGAGTCCAAGGAACTTCCTTTAACATGAGCCCTGGAGAGCTGGGCGTCCATATCCCCGAGTACCCCTTCCTCTCGACTCATCCACATGTGGCACGTGCTTCCTATCCGGGCGGGGGCCCTTGTCACAGTCAATTGTGGATACGAGAGAGCAACCCCGAAAGCTGGTTCAATGATGATCCTTATGAGCTCAATTTCAAGTTGAGACGACATTTCAATTTGATATGGGGATACAACGACTCTTGGCCTAGAAAACACATTATCCTTTTTTACTGTTTTGGCTTATATCCGAGTTTAGTCTTATCCTTAATTTACAAGTCATAACGAGAAACTGCACTCAATTCACTTTTATAAAAAAATACAACATCCTTCATTCATATCACATGGTCCGTAACACTCAACAGTCTCTTTTGTCCATATATTCCCTTATCCAATTCTATTTGTAGAAATTCTCGGGGTCACACTTCTCCGTGCATTGCAAGTATACGGACCAGCTAAGAACAATATATTAGCCCAACTCACAAATGAAAGGAACAAGAAAAGGGAATTTTGAAAGACATCACACTCACCAAAACTTATCATCATCCGGTACAGCAATTGAGCAAGTCTGAGACTGCAAAGAGCACAGCTCGTGGCAACGGTTGACATTAACGCGATTCGTATGAGACGATCCCGTCGAAAGGGGAGCTTTGCCACGTGTACCCGTTGTGGTGGCATTGTGGGAAGTTGCATTGGTAGGGACACGGACAGCGATGCGGGCACCGTGGTACGCCCCGGAGAGATGGGGCATTGCAGCGGCGGTGCTGGTCAGGGCAGCCACACAGACGGTGAATAGGGTTGTGAGCTGCATGGTGGAAAGTGTGGAGGATATACAGAACTAAGAATTATGCTCAGAAAGGTGGACTTTCCCTGGAAATTGATCTGAGGCTGAGATTCAAGGTGAGGTCAGTTGCTATGAGAGTCTTATCCCTGGACGCCGGCCGGTCTTATATAGAAACGGCTTGAGGGCTTCGATCATCCTGGGGGCTGGCTGTCAATCCCTGAACTGCCTGGGAAAAGCCTCCTGGATTGTACAGTGTTGCATGTTGGCGAGTTGAGAGGACTAGAGTAGTAAATGCCATGGTCGATCTCCAGCTCGCGACATTCCACATTCCTGTGGACTTTGGAGACCCCCGCCTCCCCTCAAAATTTGATCGTTGTCTGCATGTATCAAAACAGAGCAAAGTCCTCTGGTGATTTAGGCACTTGGCTGATGGTTGGTGGAGTGCAGTTACTTGCACGGGCGGTGTAATAGGGGATGTTTTGCACGCCTTGGTGTGGTTCATGTCGACACCTCGCATAGTCGTTACATCCCAGCGGGTGACTATCTCCGGTCATTAGCCCAATCACACTCCAAGGAAGAAAATGAAAATGAAGCTTGGCGTCACGCTGGACTTCGTCCGGCGTTATAGTGGATAGGGCTTATTTATGGCTTGATATGACAGGAGTGCGGACCAACTTTCCCGGTTGGCATTGCCGAGAGGTATTTTGGCGGATTACTAGCTCTTTCTCTTTAGCCAATGCCTTACTGGCATTCGCGTACCCATATATAGACCGGCCACGGCAAGTAATGTTCGAGATTGCTTGGTTGATATTCTCGTAGTCCACAAAGAGGAAAGCAGATTTCAGTCTATAGGAATCAACAACTATATGCGTCTATACCCACCAGATGTGTTCCGCTTTATCTATCAAGCGGAGATTACTTGAAGAGCCTCTCAATGATGACATTACCAAAGTTCTCCTCCCCAGGAGACCCATCCATCCGCCAGATACGATTGCCAGCACGGCCACTCAGCCAGAGACCATGGTCACTCGAGCTCTCCTCCTCGCCTTCGATACGGTGACGGTTGCGGCGGTCGATAACACACATACCGCGAGTCCACTGGCCCAAGGTGTCGATTCGGATATCCTCAGGCGAGTTCGCCGAGTAAACCCACTTCGGGTCTTCGGATGTCAAAGCATACCAGACGCACACAGGGTCGTGCAGACTCAGCATAGCATCGTCACCAACGTGTCCAGGATGCAGGCGCTCCAAGGTCCTGAAGGTGTGTCCCATGAAGGCATGTACCCACTCGGCGAGCGGGGAGCCGGCTTCCAGAAGAGGCGTGATGGCCTCCCGGAACTGGCCGCGTGATAGATTGTGGCGGAGGGTGATGTCCAGCGGGAAAAGGCGCAGAGTCAGTTGCCGGCTGAGGCTCTTAGGGTACGGTGGAAGTCGGCCCCTCATTGTGGGTGGGACGGTCGTGTGCGGGTTGGGCGAGGTGAGTGCGAAGATACGCGCGGCTGCCACTGCATCTGCGTAGGCGTTAAACTCGCCCGTCGGTGTCACCTATTAACAATATCAGCCAATCTGTCTCGATTTCCAGGTCCGGAAAGGCTTGGCTTACATTTCCTGGCTCGTTGATAGCACCGCCCATGACGACCACCTCTTTCACGCGGAGAAACATCTCCGGGTCTTCTGCTGCAGCTAAGGCCAGATTAGTGAGTGGGCCCACTGCTACCAGAGTCACTGTGTCTGGCTCATTATCACGGAGTGTGCGGAGAATCTCCTTATATGCCGGACGCTTGGACGGGGTGAATGCGTGGTCGTTAGGGCCTGTGCAGTCCTCGACAGGCTCAATCCCCTCGCCCTCTATAGTTTTAGCGAAGAGATGCACCCACGCCTTACTAGCGGTGAGATGTGGGTGCTATTTAGAAGTCAGCATATTTCACTTGCTTCTAGGCCATAGCAAAAGCGGTTTTATATAGGGCTTCACATACCGTTGCGTGAATACCGCCAAGTCCGTCGATCCCATCTGCGGGGATGTC